CCTTCTTTACTTGGTTCCACTTTTGCCTGAAGGACTTAAGTGTCTTTTCTCTTTATTCCAGAGGGTGATGGATTCCAGAACAAGTCCAAAGGAGAACCACAACACCACCTACTTGAGAAAAAACAGCAGAAAAGCATCAGTGGAACAAAATGGAAGAGGGGGAATGAATCCTTTCCTCAGGGTGCTGAATCCAACATGTTTGATAGACACCGAAGCATTAACACAGGGGAGAAACCTCATGAATGGTTGGAGTGTGAAAGGAGCTCTGCTCAGAATTGGATCCTTGCCATTCATCAACAAATCAACACAGAGGAGAAATCATATAGATGCTTAGAATGTGGAAAGGGCTTTCCTTGGAGTGACACCCTATCTGCTCATCAACGAAACGATGCTGGGAAGAAACCACATGAATGCTTGAAATGCGGAAAGAGCTTTGGTCTGAGTTCACACCTTAAATCCCATCAACTTAACTACAATGGGGATAAACCATATAAATGCTTGGATTGTGGAAAGAGCTTTGCTTGGAGTTCACACCTTACTATACATCAACGAATCCACACAGGGGAGAAACCATATAAATGCATGGAGTGTGGAAAGAGCTTTTCTCAGAGTAGCAGCCTAACAGCTCATCAACAAATCCACACAGGGGAGAAACCATATAAATGCTTGGATTGTGGAGACATCTTTGCTGTGAGTTCACAGCTTAATGCTCATCGACTAATCCACACAGGGGAGAAACCATATAAATGCTTGGTGTGTGGAAAGAGCTTTGCTCGGAATGGAACTCTTACTATCCATCGACGTATCCACACTGGGGAGAAACCATATAAATGCTTGGATTGTGGAAAGAGCTTTGCTCAGAGTGCATTGCTTACTAACCATCGACGAATGCACACAGGGGAAAAACCATATAAATGCTTGGAGTGTGGAAAGAGCTTTGCTCGTAGTGAAAATCTTACTGTCCATCAACGTATCCACACAGGGGAGAAACCATATAAATGTTTGGATTGTGGAAAGAGCTTTGCTCAGAGTGTATTGCTTACTAACCATCGACGAATGCACACTGGGGAGAAACCATATAAATGCTTGGTGTGTGAAAAGAGCTTTGCTCGGAGCGGAAAGCTTACTAATCATCAACGAATTCACACAGGGGAGAAACCATATAAATGCTTAGAGTGTGGAAAGAGCTTTGCTCGGAGTGACAGCCTAACTGCTCATCAACGAATCCACATGGGGTGGGAGATCAAATAAACACTTGGACTGTCGAAAGAGCTTCCCTCAAAAGGCATATCTTAAGGTACACCTAAAAATTCACCCAGGTGAGAATCCATATAAATGCTAAGCCATGTTCTGTATGAAAGAATTCACTCAGGAGAGAAACCATACAAGTGTTTCCAGTACTGGTAGATCTTTAGCCTCAAGCCCAACCTAACTGGCATCATCATCTGGAGTTTTTGTGCTACTTCAGGCCTGTATTATGCAGGTGTTGAACTGATATTGGTTAAGGCATATTGAATTCTGTGCTAAAATATTTGGGATACAGCTTATTATAAAATGTGAAATAAAGTTTGAGTCCAGTGGCACCTTTGAAACCAACAAAGTTTTATTCAAGGTATAAGCTTTTGTGTGCATGCACACTTCCTCAGATACAGTGAAAGAAGAGGTCCTCAACCATTACATATAGGAAGTGGGGGTTAGTTGCCAGGAAGGGCTAGTTAGAGTCAAGTCGCTTAAGTGACTGGGTAATATAATGAAACTGAAGCTCAAATACTTTGGCCACCAAATGAGAAGGGAGCCCTCACTGGAGAAGACCCTGATGCTGGGAAAGATTGAAGGTCAAAGAAGACGGGGACGGCAAAGGATGAGATGGTTAGACAGTGTCATCGATGCAACGAACATGAACTTGATCAGACTTCAGAGGACGGCGGAAGACAGGAGGGCCTGGCGAGATCTTGTCCATGGGGTCGCGAAGAGTCGGACTCGACTGTGCGACTGAACAAAGGATCTGTGAATAGCAGTACATTAGTGTAGGGGGATTTTAGAGGTCCAGGCCTCTGCCTGGGATCTCCAACACCATAAGGGTTGTTTTCTGTGGAGGGATGGAGACTGGCTAGGGAACTCAGGCCTCCAGAGGGAGAGAAACACAGAGAGAACATTTGCTTTAAACAAAACGTATTTATTAATCCTTAAAACCATACACAAGTAATACTCAGTATCTTAACAAAAAAAGACCCCATAGCATATAGAAATTCCCAGTACCTAGTATAGTGTACAGTTCAGGGAAAATGAGGAATATTCCTGGACTGTGGACCAAAACCTAGAAGCTGGGGGGGCCAACAGTGGGAGGGCTTCTAATGTCCTTGCCCCACTGGTGGACCTCCTGATGGCACCTGGTATTTCTGGCCACTGTGTGATACAGAGTGTTGGACTGGATGGGCCTTTGGCCTGACCAACATTGGCATCTCTTATGTTCTTAAACCTCACTCACCTATAGGAACCAATGTCAATTAAGAATTTACCAGACGTGACAAAATCCAGCCCACCTTATGTAGATAATATGAACTTTTGCCCTCAATATGATTTATCAGGTCAGTCAGTACTGTTTCCTCGTCAAGGATGGGGAGATAGTGTGCCTCTCACTCATATATCTATGTGTTATGGCATCTGCCTGGCACCAGTATTTCTAAAAATGTAAGCGGTGCTTGTTGGCAAAACGGCAACTGTAGGGTAACATCGCTTAGAAAGCCTATGTGCTTAGTAGAAGGAATACACTGCAACTAGCTTGCAAAGCATTGTGGGACATCGCTGAACTAGGAAGAGACATATTATCCAATTCAAGCCGCTATACAGAAATAGAAAAAGCCCAGACAGAAATGGCCCAGTCTTGAATAAAATTCTGCCACAATTAGCATACAAATGCAAGAGTTAACAGATGTGAGAACTGAGTTTGAGTCCAGGTGCACCTCCAAGGTGGCGATCAGCATTTCCCTGGGCATGTAAGAAAGGGCCACAAGAACTAAGCACTGATGCAACCCTTCCTGCGCTACCTCTCGTGATTTGCCTAAGTTCACACAATCAGCATTATGATCCTTTTAAAGTTGAAAGCATGATATAAATGCAAAGGACTATTTGTAAGATTATCTGTAAGACACAAGACCAGGACGCATCTCACTTCTGGCAATCACTTGGAGAGACCCTATCACTCAGCTTCCATTGCCCTACACACACCCCACACTGGAATAAGAACATAATATCAGGCCATACCATATTGCAATAAAGCCCCTACAACTGTATACAGAAATACTGAGCTTCCCTACCATTTTGCCACAACTAGCCCACCACACAACCAGGATCAAGACTCCTAAGTGGACCAACAGACAGGCATACACTCGTTTGAGAAACTGAGTATTACATTACAACACCTCTGGAACATTACAGATCAGTAGAGGCAGCACTGCACAGCGGTCAGAGTGGCAGATTGATGTGGGGAGACCCAGGTTTGTATTCTCACTCTGCTGGCTGAGTGACCCCGGGCCAAATCTCCCCTTCTCTACCTAACCTACCGACCTTCCACAGCCTGCAGTTCAGCGTCTTAACCACTTGAGCCACCGCAGCTCCTGTTATCATGTAACTCCCACTAAACACTGAATTACTTATTCCTTTAGCAGCACCCAGAAATCTCCAGAAACATGATTGTAATTCTCAAAGTCCATTGATACACAAGTAATACTTGAGACCCACTGCAAAATATAAAGAAATATATCAGCATATTTTCTATGGAACAAACTCGTTATGCACACAGACACCTACCCATTCAGTCTCAGTTTCGTGTAGTGGTTAAGTGTGTGGACTCTAATCTTGGAAAACCGGGTTTGATTCCCCACTCCTCCACTTGCAGCTGCTGGATGACCTTGGGCAAGCCAGAGTTCTGACAAGAGCTGTCCTTGAAAGAGCAATTCTGGAATGGAATCCTTAGAAAAATTACAAAATATCTTGCAAAATTTTGGTCAAATTTCAGGGTTAAAAATTAATGTTTCAAAATCAATCATACTGCCAATAAATATACCTGTGAAAGAAAAAGAAAGCCTTCAAAAACATATAATTATAAATGGTCAGATACATTAATAAAATATTTAGGAGTACAATTATCAGCCACTATAGCACAAGTACTCAAATATAATCACGAAGAAATTTTAAAAGAGATTAACAAAAAATTAACAAAATGGGACAGATATTCACCCTCATTTATGGATCGATATAATTTGATAAAATCGTTTTTGCTCCCAACATTTATTTTTCTTTTTAGAGCAATACCTATCAAAATTAATACAAATATCATCAAACAATGGCAAGATAAACTATTAATATTTCTGTGGAATAAGAAAAAGGCAGGATTAGTGCACATACCCTTTGCCAACAACGTAATCTAGGAGGACTACAATTACCAAATCTACAAGATTATTATAATGCAATTCATTTAAATAGGATAATAAAAATGTTACAAACAGAATCAGCTCCAAATTGGACAGCAATACATGAAGATTTTTTTTACACCATATACTCTGCAAGAAATAATTTGGGAAAATAAAAAACACGAAAGATTAAAACAGAACAAGACGAATTATTGGAAGCTTCACTTGAAGTGTGGGATAATTTAAGGAATAATCTAGTACCAGAATATTCACGTTTTAGGACATTTATAGGGCAACACTGGTTTTTACCAGGTCTGCATAACAAAAATTACCAAAATTGGAAAACAGCAAAGATAACCAAATTGATTTGATAATAAATAACAGAATTATAGAAAAGACTGAACTGGACAATAAGTTAAAAACAACATTAGACTGGTTTCAATATCTCCAGATAACTCATTTAGGCAAATATCTTCAGTTAGAAAAAATATTTAAACAACCTTTAACAGACTTTGAACAGCTAATCAATAAGAGTGAAAATACTAGAAAAGGAAATATATCTAAATTAATTCAGATACTTGCACAAAAAAAGGTAGACTACCTCTGACTTACCAAAACAGATGGAACAAACTGTTGGATACTCATATAAAAGACGACACATGGAGTGATATATGGAATACGTATTAATACAAATCTTAAGTGATCTCAATCCGTTTACAAAATTTTAAAATATTAACATTTTGGTATCTAACACCAGTCCAATTAGCACATATTAAAAATGTAAACCCTGCATGCTGGAGAAATTGTGATGTCAGAGGAACATATTTAGACTGTTGGATGTATTGCTCTAAAGTTTTTTTGGGAAAATGTTTTAGAAAATATTAAACATATTACGCAAGTAACTTTACCTTTTGAACCTGAAGTAATTTTATTAAATGCTAGAAAGGATTTGCAGATATCTTCATTAAATAATATTAGAATAGCCTTACTATTACATGTAGCAAAACTTGTAATATCGCAACACTGGAAATCAGAATATAATTTTTCTACGAGCATTTGGTTTAAAAAAATATGGCAACTATATCTAATGGACACAATCACTTGGTCTATAAATAATGTATCTTATGAAAAAAGCAAAATATGGTATTCTGTCTGGTTGCCTATATTGGACTATCTACAATCTCAGAAAGAAATATCAGAAGATATCTTAAGTATATAATAGACTTAAATTAATCTTTGTTTCAACTATGTAAAAGATATAAAAAATAACGTTTCTTATTGTATTGATGTTTTAAGAATTACTGTTTATTGTATTTATAATGTTTAAAATTAATAAAATCTATTTACAAAAAAAAAAGAGCAGTTATGGAAAGAGCTCTCTCAGCCCCACCTACCTCACAGGGTGTCTGTTGTGGGGAGGGAAAGGAGTTTGTAAGGCGCTCTGAGACTCCAAGTGAAGGGCGGGGTATAAATTCAATCTCTTCTTCTTCCTCCCGGGCACTGCGCGGGGGGGGGGGGGGGGGGGGAATGTCTCTGTGACATCTGAATTGTGAATGATTGTTGCCAATGGACTTGGAGTGTGCCCCACTCCCCAATGTTATTCTGTTCTGTTTGAGACCCAGAATGGTGCAGTGGTTAGTGGATCCAGAAGACCCAGGTTCGAATCCCCACTCTGCTGTGGAAGCTTGCTCAGTGGCTTTGGCTCAGTCACACACCTGCTGCCTAACTTACCTCATTAGCCACGTTGTCGCCCACTCGCCCAGTCTGTGGAGGTCCTCTTGGAGCTCTTCACAGTCAGCCTTGGTTTTCACCATAACCTTGCGTCATCTGCACACTACTCACCCCGTAACTCATCCCTAGGGAGCCAGTATGGTGCCGTGGATAAGACCGGCAGACTCTAATCTGGAGAACCAGGTTTGATTCCCCACTCCTCCACACGAAGCCAGCTGAGTGACGGTCTCTCGTTTTAGTCTCAACATGATCCTGTGTGGTGGGTTAAGCTGAGAAACAGCCACCCCTCTGAACGGAAAGGGCTGGTTGAAGGGGCTGCGGCTCACCAGTAGAGCAGCATTGTAAGGGATGAGAGAAATGAAGTTTACAAATTGCTATGCCCCAGTCATCAGAAAAGAGCATAAGTTTGGGCAGGATTCTACCTTTAGGAGGGGAGGCTGCGTGCCGTGGTAATTACCAGCGGCTGCAAGGTTTCGTTATCTAAAGGGAGCTTTAGTCAGACAGGATTATTATGGTTACAGGACGCACCAGAAATTGTCCTGGAAGACGGCCCAGATCGCCTTCCTGGGCTGACTCGGCTATGTAATATGCTGCGAGGAACGATTGGTGAAAAGCTGCAGCTTCCTCTTTTATGAATGGTCATTTTATCTTTGTAAGTTACGAGTTTTATTGCCGATGGCTTCAACGAGGCCTGCCCACAGCCCGTGAGTGTAAAGACTGTTTCATCTATTAAGCGAACTGTTTTAACATATCTTTCCACTGCTGATGGGAGCTGTGACTGTGGCTGCATTGTTAATTTGCGAGCTGAAGCTGAGTCAGTATAAGGCAGATCCAGTAGGCCAACCGTGTTGGTCTGAGGCAAGCGCTACAACAAATTTAGAGTCCAGTCGGCACCTTTAAGACCAACAAAAATTTATTCAAGGTATGAGCTTTCGTGTGCAGGCACACTTTATCAAATACATTAGAATGGCAGTCACAGTTCTCTCGGAGCTCTCTCAGCCCCACCTACCTCACAGGCAGTGTTCCCTCTAAGCTGAGTTAGTGTGAGCTAGCTCACAGTTTTTTAGCATCCAGCTCACACATTTTTGTCTTGGCTCGGGAAAGACGGACACACAGCCAGGGGGGGGGGGGGGGATTGATGCGGCCAAAGTGTGGCTTTTTAAAGCCGCACCAAAACAGACATGCGGCGGCGGGATCAGACTGATCCCGTGAGCCGCCTCGCAGTTGCGCCCTGGCACGATCAGATGCCGGTGGGGGAAAACATGAAAAGGAAGGCTGCTTTGAGACTCCTTCGGGTTGTGAAGGGCTGCGGGCAGGGTATAAAAACCAGCTCTTCTGCCTGTGTACACTTCTGGTCACCGTATCTCCAAAAGGACATTGCAAAGCTGCAAAAAGTACAAATGAGGGCAACCAAGATAATGAGGTGGTTGGCGCACCTTCCCTATGAGGAAAGGCGGAAGTGTCTGGGACTTTTCAGTTTAGAAAAGAGTCAACTAAAGGGGGACGTGACAGTGGTTTATAAAATTATGCATGGGGTGGAAAGAATTGACAAAAGAAATTTTTCCCTCCCTCTCCCAAAATACTAGAACTTGTGACAATCCAAGCCCCTGCCACACGGGGGGGGGGGGGGGGTGGGTGGTCCCAAAGGGTGGGGGGGGGGGGGATTGATGCGGCCAAAGTGTGGCTTTTTAAAGCCGCACCAAAACAGACATGCGGCGGCGGGATCAGACTGATCCCGTGAGCCGCCTCGCAGTTGCGCCCTGGCACGATCAGATGCCGGTGGGGGAAAACATGAAAGGGAGCATGAGGCAGCCGGCTGCGCATGTGTGCGCATGCGCAGTTCAGCTGGGAGCCTCGAATGCTCCTGAAGACAGGCGCTCCTGCGATCCGACGGCCGCGCTTGCTGTGGCGTTTCAGGTAAGTCCTTCTCTTTACTAGGTTCTTTTTTGCTCGGCGTTACTGGGCTGAAGGGACGGATCTGGGATGGGTGCGTGCCGCTTCCCAGATGTTGTGGTTTGATCGCGCTCATTTGCTGCGCCCCCGATTCGTCCCTCTTCCGGGCCTAAACTTCCCGTGTGACCAGGGCCCCAGTGAAGCTGATGGGCAGTAGGTTCAGAATGGACAAAAGGAAATACCAGAGGATGTCTACAGGGATAAACAGCTTTAAAAGGGGATTAGATAGATTCATGGAGAATAAGCCTATCAATGAGTACTAGCTATGGTGGTGAATGAGGCTAACCTCCACATTCAGAAGCACTAATCCTCTGAATCCCAGAGCCAGGAGGCAGCATCAGGGGAAGTCCTCGGTCTCTATGCCCTGTGGCTGGCCCTCCAGAGGAACTGGTTGGCCACTGAACAAAATTCGAGTCCAGTGGCACTTTTAAGACTAACAGATGCATTGAGATGGAAGTTAGCAGTCCATATATATAGTGTGAGCAGCAATGGTTATACAGCATAATGAAGACGTTTAACAGATGCAAGGACCAAATGGGAGTAACGAACTTGAATTATATGTTCACCAATTGTTTGACCCCGATTCGTCCCTCTTCCGGGCCTAAACTTCCCGTGTGACCAGGGCCCCAGTGAAGCTGATGGGCAGTAGGTTCAGAATGGACAAAAGGAAATACCAGAGGATGTCCTTCTTAATTGTGGGATGCTGAGAGCAATTAACCGAGACCCTGTTGCTACACTCTTGGACTCGGCGGACTATCGGTCTAATCCAGCAGGGCTCTTCTTACGTTCTTAAATTTGGACTTCCTTGCCATTCTCAGACACTTTTCCCCACTGACCTCAACAAATAATAGCCACTGGAATGGTTAAACTATTTCTAATCTGCAACAAGCTATCACAGAATCATAAGAGTTGGAAGGGGCCAGCCTAAAGTTTCTAAGCTACAACAGCCTCCTGGCGATTTAGCCATTTCCCTGACCTGTCATAGCTCGTGTGTTGTAGCTGTCAGAAGGGTAGACTTGGATCATATAACCAGATCTGAACCCCCATTCTGACAGAGAAGGTCGCTGGCTTACCTTGGATCGGTCACGTTCTCAGACAGGACATCTCACAGGGTTGCTGTGATTATCAACGGCAGGGCTATTTTTGGGCAGGAACACACAGGAACGGAGTTCTGGCTGGCTCCTGAGTTGGCCGCGCCCAGCAGGAACCCATTAGCATAACAGGCCACGCCCAACAGCAGAAACTCATTAGGATTGGCTACATTAGGGGCATGTGGCCTAACATGCAAAGGAGTTCCTGCTACAAGAAAGCCCTGGGTTTTGACAACAAACAAGGTCAACAGAATAACAAGCAAAAGGTGGGTGTGGCTGGATAACCACACTTCTGGTAACATGGGGGTGCGGCCTAATGTGCTGATGAGCTGTGCTGTCAGGGGTGTGGCCTAATATGCTAATGAGTTCCCGCTGTTGGGTGTGGCCTATTATGCTAATGAGTTCCGGCTGGGCTTTTTCTACAAAAAGAGCCCTGATAAACGGTAGCAGAGCAGAGCAAAGGAAGACGCTCTCCGTCCATGCTGGGGAGGTAGGCAACGCAACCAAGAAGGATCGTAAACATCCCCCCCTCCTTTAGAGAACAACCTCCAGGAACTGGCAGATCCAGGGTGGTGCGGTGCTCAGCGTGCCTGCCCGACTAGGCTCTAGGAGGTCTGGGTTCAGCTCCCACCTCCGCCCAGCACATCTGCAGGCTGACCCTGGGCCAGTCACCCATTCTCAGCCTGACCGACCTTCCAGCACACTTGGGGTTAGGATAAAATGGAGGAGAGGAGAACGATATAAACCACGTTGGGTTCAAGCTGGGGGGGAAAGGTGGGATACGTTTGTTATAAATACAACTTTGGATGCAGTTCGGTGTAAAGGATGATTGCTCTTGCCGTAGGTTTGTCCAGTATACCCTGCTGCTCTTTTGGCAGGAGGCAGAACTGCTTATTCAGTAGTTAAACTATCACGGAGTATGACGAGCAGAGCAAGGAGGGCAGAGAACCTAAACAATGTAACCTATTAACCAGGGGTCATTTCGTAGAAAAAGAGGTGCAGGAGCTCATTAGCATAACTCATTAGTATAACCTATTTGCATAGGCCACACCCCCTGACATCACCGGAAGTGTATCAGAAGGCAACAGCCACCGCTCAGGCTCCACTGGACTGTTTTGGATTGCTGGCTATTGGGGGGGGGGACGTGCAGATCTGTCCTCGCAGAGGAGGGAGAGCTTGTACCTGAATAAAACTTGGTCTTAAAGGTGCCACTGGACTGTTTTGGGCCGGGGGGGGGGGGCTCTGCAACTTACCTGGCTGCTTCTTGCTCTGACTGAGGGCTGATGGGAGCAGGGGGCGGGGCTTGTTGCATGTGCCCGCCCCCTGGGCTCCTTACTGCCAGAGCTCCGCTCCTGTGCGCTCCTGCAGGAAATGACCCCTGCTATTAACCCTAAAGGTCTTGTGCCCACCCCTCCTAAAGATGTGTTCATGAGGCAGGACAAATAACTCATGTTTTATTAGTAAACTGTATTCCAAATATTCTAGGTGAGAATTGAACATACCTTAACAAATACCAGTCCAACAGCTGTACAATAGGGGTCTGATTTAGCACATATGATGATTTCCAGTAAGGTAGGGGGTTAGGCTGAAGATCTTCCAGCACTGAAAATATTTGTACTGTTTTCCCCCTGTGCGAATTCTTGGATGCAAAGCATGGCTTAACATTTATATGGTTTCTCCCTTATAAGAATTATTTGGGGTAGCATAAATTATGCCTTTTGAGCAAAGCTCTTTCCACCATCCAAGCATTTATATAGTTTCTACCCAGTGTGAATTAGTCGATGGAGAGTGAACGCTGTTATCCAAGGAAAGATCTTCCCACAATCCATGCACTTGTATGAGTTCTCCGTAGTGTGGATTCGTTGATGGTTTGTAAGCTGTGAACTCTGAGCAAATCTCTTTCCACACTGCAGGCATTTATATGGTTTCTCCCCAGTGTGGATACGTTGATGGATAGTAAGCTGTGATATCTGAGCAAAGCTCTTTCCACACTGCAGGCATTTATATGGCTTCTCCCCTGTGTGGATACGTTGATGGACAGTAAGCTGTGATCTCTGAGCAAAGCTCTTTCCACACTGCAGGCATTTATATGGTTTCTCCCCTGTGTGGATTCGTTGATGGTTTGTAAGCTGTGATATCTGAGCAAAGTTCTTTCCACACTGCAGGCATTTATATGGCTTCTCCCCTGTGTGGATACGTTGATGTTTTGTGAAGTCTGAACTCCGAGCAAAGCTCTTTCCACACTCCAAGCATTTATATGGTTTCTTCCCAGTGTGGATACGTTGATGGATAGTAAGGTCTGAACTCTGAACAAAGCTCTTTTCACAGTGCAAGCATTTATATGGTTTCTCCCCTTTGTGCATTCTTCGATGGTTAGTAAGCTGTGATATCCAAGCGAAGCTCTTTCCACACTCCAAGCATTTATATGGTTTCTCCCCAGTGTGGATTCGTCGATGGTTAGTAAGCTGTGAACTCCGAGCAAAGCTCTTTCCACACTCCAAGCATTCGTATGGTTTCTCCCCAGTGTGGATTCGTTGATGAATAGCTAGGGTGTCACTCCGAGAAAAGCTCTTTCCACACTCCAAGCATTTATATGATTTATCCTCTGTGTGAATTTGTTGATCACCATTAAGTGGGCAATTCTGAGAAAAGCTCTTTCCACATGCCAGGCATTTATCTGTCTCCCCTGTGTGGATTCGCTGATGGCCAGGAAGGTCTCCCTTCCAAGCAAAGCTCCTTCCACACTCCAAGCACTTATCAGGTTTCTCCTCTGAATAATTTACATCAAGAAGGCGGTGTTGTGATTCTCTCTCACACTTGTTCTGGGGACCGTCAATCTCTGGGAAAAGAGAAAATACTGGTAAGACCTTCAAGCAAAAGCAGGATCAAGGAAAGGCGGCCATTAACTGCTCTTGAAAACGACATAACTAATCACTTAAAGGGGAGACAAATCCTGCTCTGTATTATTCGGCTGCTGATGCTTCTTGTCTCTGAGACAAGGTGGCCCAGTGTAACCTTCATGTTTAGCAGTAATATTTCTCTGATGAGGGATATTTTGCATCTGCTCCTCCGGTGTGGAGAGAGTTGACAGAGAGAAATTTTTCTCCCTCTCCCAAAATACCAGAACTCGGGGTATCCAATGAAGCTGATGGGCAGTAGGTTCAGGATGGACAAAAGCAAATACTTCTTTACATACCGTGTGATTAAAATGTGGAATTCGCTCTGGAGAATGTAGTCATGGCCATAGAAATAAACAGCTTTAAAAGGGGATTAGACAGATTCATGTAGAATGTCTATCAGGGGCTACTAGCCATGATGACTGAGGGGAACCTCCACATTTAGAAAAACTAAACCTCTAAATCCCAGAGCCAGGAGGCAACATCAGGGGCAGGTCTTGGCCTCTATGCCCTGTTGCTGTTGGCCCTCCAGAGGAGCTGGTTGGCCACTGTGTGAGACAGGATGCTGGACTAAGAGGAGGAGGAAGAAGAGGAGGAGGAGGAGGAAGAAGAGGAGGAGGAGGAAGAGATTGGATTTATACCCCGCCCATCACTACCCAAGGGAGTCTCAGAGCGGCTTACAAACTCCTTTCCCTTCCCCTCCCCACAACAGACACCCTGTGAGGTAGGTGGGGCTGAGAGAGCTCTTGACAGAAAACTGCTGTTTTTCAAGAACAGCTCTTATCAGAACTACGGCTTGCCCAAGGTCATCCAGCCAGGTGCGAGTGGAGGAGTGGGGAATCAAACCCAGTTCTCCCAGATTAGAGTCCGCGCACTTAACCACTACACCAAACTGGCTCACCAAAATGGCTCTCACAGAGTGGCCAACCAGTTCCTCTGGACAGGCAGCAACCAGGGCACAGAGGCCGAGGCCTTCGCCTCATGTTGCCTCCTGGCTCTGGGATTCAGACATTTAGGCCCTGCTTCAGTCAAGGATGGCAGATAGCTACAGCCCCTCTGCTGCTTTCATAAACATACGGTTTGCCCAAGGTCATCCAGTCAGCTGCAAGTGGAGGAGTGGGGAATCAAACCCGGTTCTCCCAGACTAGAGTCCGCGCACTTAACCCACTACACCAGACTGGCTTTACACCAACCACCGGACTGATCCAGTAGGGTTCTTCTTATGTTCTCTTCTTTTGAGCCTTCCAGGACTCTAGGAGGCCACTGTAAGAAACGGAAGGCTGAACTAGATGGCCTCTGGCAAATCTCTTCCTGTATTCAAATACAGAACTGAACTACATTCAGTGGACAGCCCAGTTTGGAACAGAGCTTTACACCTCAACTACAGAGACCCAATCTGACCTCCAAACTTATAAAGCTCACTGTACTTTCCACCTGTCCAGTAAGTTTGGCCTTGCAAACCATGTGTTCTGTGGACCTGACTACAGAGCGGAGGCAGGTGGCAAATAGAGACTCTGCATTTTCAGTGGTAGACCCTCATCTGGGGAATGTGTCCCCTCACCTCTCCAGAAGGTCGCTTGGAGCTTACCTTCCTATCTTTTCAGAGCCAGGTCAAAACATCTCTTTCCAACCGGGCTTTAGCTTAGAAGGTTATCTTTTTAGCGGTTTTATGGTCTTCTAACCTGTGGACAGTTTTTAGGGGATTTCTCAGGGAACCTCAGTGGCTGTTTTACGCTCTTCTTGTGCCCCTGGCTTTTTAAATTGATTATTTTGTCAGTATTTAAGGTCTTCCCATATTGTTTTGATTTTTGAACCAACTTGGTCAGTGGAGAGGCAGGATATACGTAAATCCATGTGTATTAAAGCCGAGCACTGTATAAACTCCCCCACCCACCCCTTAGTTAAAAACAAGCCAGCATTTTGGTCTTCTCTTTCACACTTCCTGGCCATTCTCAGGCCGTTGCCTCCTGAGAAATCCCTCCATCCTCCAGCTGGTGAACTTTACTCCAAGAGGTATCCTACCCACACGCACCAGAGTAAGGTTCCCACCACAGAGGTAAGCAGATACCTGCTGATCTCTTTCTTTCATCTGGGTCCTGGAGAAGTGGATCTCCTGCTTCTTCCACTGTGGATATGGAATCAGGGTTGGGAACCAGAAGATTTCCTTTGGGGGAAAGAAACGGACCGGTGACTTCTAGACATTCCAACTCTACGAAACATTCAGGTTTTCAAACCAAACTATCTGAATGGTATTCCCAGTAGCCATGTATGGCTGCGAGAGTTGGACTATAAGGAAGGCCGAGCGCCGAAGAATAGATTCTTTTGAACTATGGTGCTGGAGAAGACTCTTGAGAGTCCCTTGGACTGCAAGGAGATCAAATCAGTCAATCCTAAAAGAAATCAACCCTGACTGTTCCCTGGAAGGCCAGATAATGAAACTGAAGCTCAAAGTAAGCAATTATTCTTATTAATTTATAAGCAAAAAGTATTTGACGTATGTAATGTTAATGTTATTAACAAAAACAATAAAAAAAATACTTTGGCCACCAAATGAGAAGGGAGCCCTCACTGGAGAAGACCCTGATGCTGGGAAAGATTGAAGGTTAAAGAAGACAGGGACGGCAAAGGATGAGATGGTTAGACAGTGTCATAAATGCAACGAACATGAAGTTGAGCAATCTTCAGAGGACGGTGGAAGACCGGAAGGCCTGGCGAGATCTGGTCCATGGGGTCGCGAAGAGTCGGACTCGACTGTGCGACTGAACAACAACAAAAATCTGAACCCCAGCCACTCATGATGGCAAAAAGGAAAAAAACAAATGTTTTAAACCCCTGAAAGATGTATGCAATGGGAAAGCAGGGGGTTGCTGCTGGCATCCAGAAGGATCCACCTGCTGATCCTGCTGGTAGCCCAAAGTGGAGAAAAAGGGAGCAGGGAAGGAAAGGGAAGGCCTACGCAGAGCCACCAGGATACAATATCTTCGCCCACCTCCTCAGGCAAGAGGATCCAGCGTCACAGTATGACCCCCACCTAGGATGACTCTGACAGAGGGCCACTGCCTAAGGGCTCCTTTCCCTTTCTAGAGACCCTTCCAGGACGGAAAAAGGTGGCATTGGGTCCCAAAAACTCATAACAACACGGTGAGATTTCTTTTTAACATTTATAAATGTGTTTCTTGTATTTAGGACATTGTTAGACCTCACAACCCAAAAAGGAGCTCAGAACAGCATACACTTATCTTCCCTTTCCCTCCAGCCTGGAACAGAGAGTCAGTCCCTGCCAGTGTTCCCTCTAAGCTAAGTTAGTGTGAGCTAGCTTACAGTTTTTTAGCCTCCAGCTCACACATTTTTCTCTTAGCTCAGGAAGGAGGGCTCCAGAGCAAACTAATTTATGCAGCAGCAAAACTACATGCTCACAACTTTCATGCCAGTAGCTCACAAAGTAGAATTTTTGCTCACAAGACTCCACAGCTTAGAGGGAACATTGGTCCCTGCCCCTTTGATTCCAAGAGCAGCGTGGCAGGCAGAAATTCAGCAGGCAAAGCTCTTCATGACACACAGCAAAACTTCACCCACTCAGCTCCTGTTTTCTTGGTGGTTGGTCATCCAGAGGAACTGGTTGGCCACCGCGCGAGACAGGATGCTGGACTAGATGGGCCACTAGTATGATCCAGCAAGAATCTTCTTATGTTCTTAACACAGCAGAAAAACTCCAATTTATCCCTTCTGCCCCATACTTAACTTCATCATCAAGCCCCATAGGAGACTCTAGTGTCCTCAGGGCAAGGAAATTTCTTTTTGAAAATGCATACTGAGAGCCCTATATAAATACAAATATCAATACTGTTATTTTTGTTGTTCTTATTTTAATTGGTATTGTTTGAAATGCTCGTTTCTACGGCTGCTCTGAAAGGCCCAAGAGGAGGCCCCGCTGACATCCCATAAACTGTTATGGAGGCCAGTCCCCCTCCTGCTCTGCTTTCAATGGATTCCCAACCGGGACTGAAGATTTTGTTCCCCCGAAGAACAATGAGCCTGCCCAATCCTCCTTCTCTGCTGTTTTCCTTTCAGTTTACAAGGCAACATTTTCGCTTACATGCTAATACTTATGGACTCCAGTGAGTATGAACGACCCCCTTCCTTGCCTGCATGTGGACCACACTCCACTCCCCCACTGAAAGTCTCCATTGGGAGACTGCCTACCAGGGTCCTTACTGGTGGCAGTTAGAAATGCTTGTGGTGACCCTGTAGGGTTGGCAAGGCAAGAGACAGACAGAGGTGGTTGGCCACTGCTTGCCACTGCATTGCACCCCTGGATTCCCTTGGTGGTCTCCCATCCATATACCAACCCTCAGGGCTATTTTTGGGCAGGAACGCACAGGAACAGAGTTCCGGCTGGCTCCTGAGTTGGCCACACCCAGCAGGAACTCATTAGCATAATAGGCCACACCCAACAGCAGAAACTCATTAGGATTGGCTACGTTAGGGGTGTGTGGCCTAACATGCAAAGGAGTTCCTGCTACAAGAAAAGCCCAGGGTTTTGACAACAAACAAGGTCAACAGAATAAGAAGCAAAAGGTGGGTGTGGCTGGATGACCACACTTCTGGTAACACGGGGTGTGGCCTAATATGCTAATGAGCTGTACTGTCAGGGGTGTGGCCTAATATGCTTATGAGTTCCTGCTGTTGGGTGTGGTATATTATGCTAATAAGTTCTTGCTGGACTTTTTCTACAAAAAGAGCCCTGCCAACCCTGCTTAGCTTCTGAGAGCTACTGCGATTGGGCTAGCTGGAGCCATACCAGTCAGGGCTGGGGTCCTTCTCAGAAGGAATGATTTCTTCCGTCAGAAACTGTCAATTGAGAAACTTACCCAGAGAGGCCACGTTCTGACAATTCTCCTCC